GACTTTTCAACCCTTACGCATCAAGCAAGGTGAAAAGCGAAATCGATGCCATCCGAAATCGGATTTCCGACTTTGACATGTAATGTATTAATTTCTCAACCAAAAACCAACTAGCCATGAATAACAGAAGACTCCTGATAGCAGCTGAATTTCATTTTGTGCATCCAGTGGAAAAAGACAGTTAAAAACGTCACAAGTTGACACAAAACTCTGTCAGCTTCAGCTGTCAAAGCAAACAAGATTCAAGATGCTGCATAAATTTTCCGCATGAGCTCACCTGTCAAATTTTGACCAATCAGAGCGTAAAAATTGGACGTAGAGCGTGACCAACGCGTGACCATGGCGAGCAAAGTCAAAAGCAACTGCCTTCCTTCTGCCTTCCCTGCCTGTAATAGCTGGCTGAATTTTCGCGTCCGAGGTCAGTTTTAAATCAAAATTTTAATTGTGCGGCACAAAAACAAAACATATTTCATATGAATTAAAAAACAATCAAACTTGAGCCTACGATCATTTGAAAACTAGTAACTTGTCAGCGGATAACTTCAAAAAAATACTCGACCTCGATGGGTCAGCACCTGAGCCCGAGATACGGTCAAAAGATACTGGTCAGCGGATACCCTGTTTTGACAGCTGTCAATTGATCACAACATTGATGTCCAATGGATGTGTGCATTATCAGTTTTCCTGTGCTCTCAATTTAGCTAGAAAGTATGAGATTGAACATTGATTGCGAGCTAGTAAAACAACTGGTCAGCGGACAGCTTCCAAATAAATCACGTCACCTTGATGAGTTGACACATGAGCCCCCGATATGGCAATGTGATACTGGTCAGTGGCTATCCTGTTTTGACAGCTGTCAATTGACCATATTGTGAATGGCCAATATAAAAGACATGGGTTTGCCAAGACTCACCTGAGACACCTCTCCCTTCCTTTTGATAGTCTCCCCTACCCTACCCGTACAATCTGTAGACGCGTACGTACGTACGTACGCTCGGTCAGTCACGTGACAACAAAACGAAAAGTGGTTGACCATATTCTATGAGTATGGGGCTCTGTTCCACTCGCGCTTCGCGCGCGAGGGAGCCCCGCTAAAAATTAGGCTATTTTTTGACTCCGACGCCGTAAACCGACATTCTAATTTTTCTCGCAAGTAAAAGCACAGGTGGCCCAAGCTCGAAATATGACCATCGGCGCTGCTTTATAACGTTCAAAATATAAGGATTTGTATGGGAAAAAAGCAATTGCTTTTGTAGCCTACGAAAATGAAAGGATTTAAATAAAAATAAGCTAACCTCGTTTAAGTTGTGTGTTTCCTCTTTCCTATGTGGTTTCGTAGCCAATTTATGGCCTTTTAATGGGTTTTATTGGAACCGGTTTGCTCTCTCTATAATCAAAAAGGTTTAAGACAAAGTTCTAAACACCTAGACGAGTTTCCCTTGTAAAACTCCTTTGCTTGCTTACTTTTTTCCGAACTTCCTCTTTTGGGCAAATGTTTTTAAGCAACGACTTGGTTCTCACCCTTTTCCACATGTCTCTGAAGGCTCCTTTGAAATGCTTGTCGTGAAATGGATACAAGAATGGGTTCAGTGCAGAATTCAGGAAACCCAGCGTCAGAAACACCTCAACGAGTAGGGGAGGAATATATACTTGTTCCGTACACATGTTTCCAATAAGACTTAATGTTACGTAAGGCAACCAGCAGAAGTAAAACAGCATAACAATAAATCCAATGTACCGTGAACCTCGAAAACGTCGCCGCATCTTCTTTTTCTGCTTGTTCTCTTTACTTGCCAGAGTGAATAGATTAGGTGGAGCATCTTGATCTGTGCAATGAATATTGCTTATGTTAGACGAGTCATTTGTGTTCAAAAATTGGTCCGTTTTTATGGTCCTTTTGATGTGATGAAGAACGATTGCATAGATACGTGACCAGAATACCGCCATAAATATCATTGGAACCAGGAAATTGACGATATTCACTGTGATATTGTACTCTCTTGTCGATAAGAAATAGCAACTGCCATTATAAATAGTCGGAAGATCTTCTTTCCATCCCATCACAGGAAGACAGGCCCAAATGATGGCATAAATCCAAAGGCAGGCGATTATAAGAACAGCTCTACGAGGTGGCATCAAGGAGTTGTAACGCAGAGGCATCCTCAATACTAAATATCGGTCCACAGTGACAGCACACAAGTTAATAACTGAACTCGGCACAGCGAGTAAATACATTGTGGTGTAAAGATTGCACATGAACTCACCATGTTTCCACTCACCCTCCCTTATATCAGAGTCCAACTTGAATGATGTGACGAGTCCCGAAGTCATAATATCCGATACTGCCAATGATATTATGAAGTAATTTGTTACGCTTGTTCGAAGTCTCTTATAGAAAATAAAAGCATACACCACAATGAAGTTGCCAACTAAGGCTGTCATAGTTATGAAAGCTTCAGCAACAGCAATGAGCAGATAACGAAAGTGACGCCATTTGCCATCTTGCGGCTCATTTGGAAACAGTGTTGTGTTAGTGGCATTCAATGCATGGTAAGTTCCAATGGAGTCGTTCATTTCTTCCGGAATTATGTTTCTTGTTTTCGTCTAAAATGAAAAAAAAAAAATTATCAATTGGACCTGAAAGAGCCCTGATAAGAAAAGTAATAGTGGCAGGGTGATTAGTTAATTTGCCAGTCGTCCTTAATAATCGAGTACAAAAAGAATCTGAAATATAAATACATCAATGCCCTCTACGATGGCCCAGGAGGGTCACAGTCCAGTATTGGTTTTTGACAGTCCAGTTATGGTTTTACACAGTCCAGTTATGGTTTTACACGGTCTAGTTTTAGTTTTTACACAGTCCAGTTTTAATTTTTACAGTTTTATATAAATCCAAGAATCAAACAGAAACACAAGATAAATTAACTTCATAGTCACAGCAGACCATACTTGCGCAAATCTCATCGGAAGCCAAGCTGCGCAGCAAATGGGACTCGTGAGTGTTAATTGCAACCGATTGTCTGGGTCACGCACCGCGTCTAAGCCTTCTTCAAACAAAAAAAATACCTTCAAGATACAGGGAAACCCCGGGTACAAACAAAGAAAGAATCACAGCACGAAAAGGTAAATTTAAGTCAGCGTAATGGTGGCGTGAAGCTAGGTGGAAAATTCGCAGCAACTAACTTTAAGACTCATTTACGCGACATAAAGCCGAACTTTACCTTACCTTGACGCATATGCTTTAGGGTATCGTAAAGAAACATTTTAAACCCTGTGTAAAGCTAGTTTAAAAGCGCTGTAAAGGAGGAAATTTAAGCGAACGTAAAGTTATTATAAATACGCTTTTAAGAAGAGATCATCTAAGCGAACGAAATATAAATGAAGTTGGACAGGCGTAAAGATCCCATCGCACAACTTTACACTTCTTTTACGTGTTAGGCAGATATTTAAAGGAGTGGTAGTTTAAGAGAAGTAGGGCTCATTAACGCCCAACCAATTTTCAAATGCTAAATCTTTCTTTTCACATTTCAAACTTCCATGGAAAATTCTCAGATATGTTAACAACAAAAGCTACGAGCACGAATCGCATTCGTTTTAGTGTTGCCCCAAACATGAGGTTTGTTTGCAAGGTTTTCTTTTCACACGTTCACGCAGACTTGTTACTTGTAAGAGACACCTTTTTTTATGCAAGCGTTAAAAAACTAGTCAATCTGGTAAAATGCTGTTGACTTCTGTTATGGAGGATTCAGGTAACAAACGGAAAGAAATAACGCACAAGAAACTGGTTCCAGTATTGTTTAATGTATTGATTTATTTGCGATTAAAATGAAAGAAATTCTTACACCTAAGTAATATTAACTTTCAACATTTTCTTATAAAAGCAGGTACTCTAATATACCAGTGTGAAGAAAGAAATCTGATTAAGTAAAATTTAATTTTAAACAGTTCATTTTAGATATAAAAACTCTATCATGCCTTTGTGGGGATATGTATACTTTTTGAAAGGTTTTAAATACTCCTCTCAAAAACTTGGAAACTAAAAATGATCTTGAACAAAACTGATGAAGTAAAATTTAACTTAATTTTTGTTGAGCAATAAATTCAACATACCAATGCAAAATTGTGTTCTGGAAAAAGGAAAACTGTAAATCTTCCTAATGTAGTGTAATCTATATTAAAAGCTAGAAGAAACTAATAAAAAAATCTGAAACAATTTCTGATAAAAAAACAGTAACATTGATAGGTTCATCACCTAACCCTTTCACTCCAGAACCATATATTGACAAAATTATAAAAAATTCAAAATAAATATTTCATTTTCATTCATACCGTCTTAAAAATTAGAACCACCTTATACGAGTCCATCATTCCACTGGGAGTTAAAGGGTGGAAATAATATTGTTATAAAACCATACAAGCAGTATAAAAGAGCCATGGCAGACTGAGCTAATTCTGTCTCTGTATGGTGAGTGTCTTGATTAATGTTAAAAACAACATTAATACTCTGGGGATGTGTAAACATTGTTCTTTGTTGCCTTTCTTTGTTTTTACCACCCGATGTGGTTCTGGGCGTGGAAGCAGGGCTATCTGTTGCCCATTTTGCAAGTAGTTTTGGCGAAAAAGCTGATCATGAATCTCTGGCTTTGAAAGAGGCTTGTGGCCCCCACGTCACAATGACAGTCACCGCATCCATGCAGAAATGGTGCACAAAGCATAATTTACCCAAAGCAAGCATGATGAATTAGCCAAAAAGTATGGTGTCTATTAAAGTTGTCTTTTGCAGCCTGAATATTTTGACGCTATGAGGATCACCTCTATTGATCCCATGTACAATCTGTTCCTGGGAACTGCAAAATACGTCTTCAAACTCTCGGTAAAAAAGAATTTGTTAAGAAAGAAAGAACTTGATATTTTAGAGCAGAAGATTCATTATTTGGATGCTCAACAGGAAATGAACGTTTGCCACCAAACATTGCATCAAACTATAGTGGTCACAAAGCATCACGGTGAAAAAATTGGACGCTGATATATTCAATTCCCTGCTTTGCTTAAAAGATCTGCCTCCAGAAAGACACCTGAACTGTTGTCAGAGATTTGTTCTTGTTTGCAAGTGGATATGTTCTCCAATCATGTCCAAGACTGACATTGTCAAAGCTGATCTGCTTTTTGTAAAATTTGGCCAAACGTTTAACCAGTTGTATAGAAAGAAATTTGTCACCCAAAATAGGCACCTTCGCTGTCATTTAAAGGAATGCGTAATTGACTGTGAACCAGTGCATGCATTCTGGTGCTTCTGTTTTAGAAGGATTTAATGGCATTCTGGGTAGTATGCGAGTTAATGGAAGATCTATTAAAGTTGAAATTATTAGCTTCTAGCTGGACGTTATGTTTGGGATGTTACCTTCCCAAATGAATTTCAAGAAAACTTTATGTGTAAAAAGAAATGTTAGTGCTGAAGGATTAATTTTATAAACTGCTAAAACAATTATCTAACAGTGTCTGCTGCTGGAATATAGGAGATTTTCATTGGCCTGATCTTACCCTCGTTGGTCTACCCAACTCATGAGCTAAGGGTAATTTTTGGATGCAGCAAAACACTGTACCCCAGACAAGAAGTTGAGTTATCTTCGAGTGTTCTTCGCAAGTATTCGATCAGGCTTAGAACTGAGAAGTTCGGGTCAAAGTTGGATCGTCGAAACATGAGGAGTGCGCGTATAATGGCTTGTTGGACTGCTAAGGATAGCTCCATTGATATATCTGCACAAACAAAACATATTTCTAGTAAAAATCCAAAAAATGTAAATAAAAGAAAACATCTACACAATAACTTTTTGTCAAAATAAATATAAACCAAAATAGGAGTTTTTTTTGTTGTATGAAAACCTATTTTGCCAGCCTGGGTATTTAAATGCCAAATTTCAGCCTGTTGGTTCTTTATCACTAGGTTCTTATGTCAGGGATTTAATTTTATTTCTCAAATTTCTTTGAGACAGACCGACTTTACAGCACCACAGCCAGTCCAATAATCCTAAAGCTGAAAGCACACATGGCTCGTTATGACATCACCGAAGAAATAGTTTCGGATTCTGGTCTCCAGTTCCGATCAAATGAGTTCAAAGCTTTTGCAAGGAATTACGGATTCAAACACACACTCATTGGCCCATACTACCATCAATCAAACCGAATGGTTGAATGGTTGAGTCCTAGCAAAAGCTGGAATGACCAAGTGTGACCCGTACCTTGTCCCTTTCGATATCCGGAACACACCTCAGGAAGGAATTGATGCCAGTCCTGTCCAGCGCACGATGAACAGATGAACAAGGAGCCCACTGCACAAGCCAGCAAACCTAACACCTCAAATCATTACTGGTGCTCATGAAAAGATCAAACAACGGCAAGCCAGACAATAGACATAATACAATCGAGGAACGATGAAGCTGAAGCCCCTTCAAGGGGGAGACCCAGTGCTGATCCAACCACAAGTATAGTAGGTGACCACAAATGGAGGGAGGCGCGTGTCTCCAGGCAGGTGGGAGTAAGGTCCTATGACGTAGAATCTGATAAAAAGTCCCATACCCGCAGCCGGAAACAGCTAAAGAAAGCAGTCGATGCCGTAAAATCAATCCATGAAATGGAGGACCACCCTGTGCTCTACACTGATATACCAGTCAACAAACCCCACCCAGAGGAGCCCAAACAGCAGAAGGAACCTAAAGTCTCATCTGAAAGCACTACAGTTACCAAGCTAAGGCCCCTGACGGATCGTGAAACTTAGGAGCATGAAATAAACACCTGCAGTGGCAGAATCTAAGTACTAGCGAGATTTAAGGACTGTTAAATTTTAAATTAGCAAGACGGACTCTGATTCTTATTTTGTTATGATATTATTTTCTTGATTAGTTTTCCTCTAATTGTTAGTGGACATTCGACCATTTCTCAAACAACGGCGGATGTGCCGATTATGTAATGGCTATCTATGGACGCCTCATGAAAGCCACGATCGAGTAGATTGTCATTAGGTAATTTAGGTTAGGGTTTAGAGGTATGGAATAAAATGTGCTTGAATTGAAATGGCTTTGCTCTCTGACATCTGCTATTGTAACAGGTATCAAATCAGACTAAGACTAAATGGATGCTGTTTGGTAGTAGACAAGAACTAGAACATTGTTCAAACAATAGAATACAACTTCATGGGAAATAAATTGCCAGAGTATCAAGCTTACACTACTTGAGAATCTCTTATAGAGATCATGGAGAGCATGTAGAATTAATTTGTAACAAAGTGCGCAAGCTTCTCGGCCTGCTGTTTTCGCATGACGTCATTACCTTACATCTAAAAGCTGCTAAATGCGTATATAATTGTCTAGTACAGCCTATTTTTTATTCTATTCATAGAGTATGGGATGGGCTGTAATATGAATGCAGAAACAGCTTACGGCGTCTGCAAAACAGAGCAGCAAACATACTCAAAGGAAGATGAGTTTCTTTGGAAACACAAAGGAAAGCCGACTTATGCATTTTACTTTTTAAAATTCTAAATGAATTAGTTCCTCCAGATTTATCGGATTATTTCATTAGAAATCGCACCATTCACACTTACAAGACAAAGGAACGACATTCACCTATGAAAAAATACGTTTAGATATTAAGCTGCGGTTCTTTTCATCAATACCTACATCAATACATACATTGCTTTCCATTTTTAAGAACCTTCCGAATACTTAGAATTCATTGTAGCCACAGGGCCCCTTTTGGTACTAGCCAATGGCTGATAAGGCCACCTTGCCTAAGTAAAGTGTGATTTCACATGACTTTGCTTAAAGAATTTGACTCTGTATTTAGGCATAACATTTGATTACGGCTTATCGTCGAAAAGTCAAATTAATGAACTTTGTTTGAAACTTTCATAAACCGTGAGTATTTCGTCTAAGGTGATACAGCCGTATTACTCTCCTATTTATCCTTTTCTCATATACGGTATCTATAATTTGCGCTTAACGCTCGATTGTTATCCATAAAAACGTAATCAGAAGCATTTATCTCCTAAAGTTGAATATGTCAGTTTGAGTTCAGTGTCATTTTGTTACTGCTACATGACATCTTTAACAGTAGTGCTAGTACTCTTGAACAACGCATTACTCGTCACGAGTTATTTGAAAGCACACTACTATATAGACACATGACAATATACACTTAATGTCAGATCCCGAGGGAAACAGTTAGTTTTGTTTTCCCAAGAGTCCTGATGTTTCCCGAGACGAAGTCGAGGGAAACATCAGGACTCGAGGGAAAACAAAAGTAACTGGTTTCCCGAGGGACCTCAGACTTTAAGTGTTTTGTTATATTTCTAGACTTTTACTTCAACAGCAACAAAAGTAATAACCGGAGCGAACCAAAACAGTCGACTCGGTACTTATAACAACACAAATTTAATTCTCAAAACCACTGAATGAATGATTTACAAACAAAAGTACTTTCCTCATATTATCTGCATCTTTTTCCTCCACTTATCCCGAGCGGGATACATTGTTTAATGTATCACGATCGGGATACATTTGATTTTAGTCAAGGCCACGTGACCAAGAATCAACCAATAGCAGTCCCTGTTTAGTTGAGTGAAAGTCTAGGAATATAACAATAGTTGTTATACCACGAACAAGCAATACACTGCAACTGAGCTCGTCGCTCGCGGTCGGCCGCTTCGCGGCGAAATAGGCCGCTCCGCCGCCAAAAAAGGCTCGCTCCGCTCGCCAAGAGGTCGACTTGTAGTAAGTCTAGCCTGCACGCAGCGGCCTGGCATGTTTAAGCGGATATCCCTGACAGTCACACTAAAGTTCACACCATGAACAAGGCCAACTCATATTTAAAGCTTTTAAGTAAATGACTTTACTTTTGGTCCGGAATAACGAAAACTGGACAATAAAATAGAGCTGTCACCGTCACCTGAGCAAATTTTGTTTCAAAATTACTCCCCTTGCTCTAGAAACGATAACCCCAGACACCGACTAGATATACTCTTCCCGCTAATTTGAAAAGTATGTTTATAGTTGTAATTTAGTGAAACACACAGTCACTAACAAGCCTCTCACGTGCTGCCCTTTTTTTCCTTTTTATTCTTATTATTTATATCTTCTTTTTACGATAAAAAACGATGAGATGTTTGGGTAAGAAGTATAATAATTGTTGTAAGAAAGCTAGTGTAAGCCTGTATCGGTGCAAATTTGAGTTTTCCATTTTCGTACTATAGTGCACATTTATATGTATTATCGTATGGCAATGTTGTTTTTGCAATATATAACAATTATTCACCTCATTGATGGTGGCTAATGGTGGATATTTACCTCGCCGAGCTTCCATGGATTTGCCCCTTAAAAATTTACATCCCGTGAACGCGTCCAAACAGTCCCGAACATAATTATACTTCTTGGCTCATTTAAAAATAGAAAAGTAGATCTGTGAAATGCTATTTGTTAGGATACATAAATTTTTGTTCGGAAGAGAAAACTTAGTTGTCGTACAAACGCAAGCAACAAATCAAGAGTTCTATTCTGCAGATGTGAAGTTCCTTTCAGTCAGATTTTAATTTGTTAGGACCGTCGAACTGTATGTAATATTCATTCGCCTCCTTCCTCATATTTTCCAATTATTAATTTGGTACAAAGCTAGTCACGTTTTAAAATTGAGTAGCTTGACACTTGCCTTGACATTAAATGTAAAATAGGTACTGAATCCAAAGACTATCTTTCTTTTTCCCTCCTTCTAAAAACCTGAGAGGGACAAATAGTTTGATGAGGCTCTAGAGACTAAACGCTTGAATGTATGTTTATACTCTCCTTTTTTTCCATTCAATTATGATTACATATATTTAACAATTAATGAATGAGGTTGAGTATCTTATGAACAGTAATCGGAGCTTAGGAGAGTGCGTTCCATATGTTTATAAAGCGTACAGGTAGCAGTTGAGGAGGCAGGGTGGATGGTTATTGCGATAGATTAAGCCCGGTTTCGCTACGATCGCTGAGAAAAAAAAATCAACGATCATATGGAAACCACTCTCCAGCGATCGCAGCGAAAACGATCACTGAGATAGAACTTTTTGGGTGGGTAGAAAACGAAGACCTAAGACCTAAGACCCAAAAACGAAGACCCC